TGCAGTTCAGGCTGGCCTTGAGCTCATGTTGTAGCCCAGCCTGGTCTCGAACTCCCAGCCATACCCCTGCCTCAGCCCCCCCGAGTGCTGGGATTCCAGGTGGGCACCGCCACGCCCAGCTTCTTGCCACTTTTAGCAGCAGCTCTCAGGTCCTCTTCTGTGAGGGTCTTTAGTTGCACTGCTGTGGCTGCCTTGACGGCCTGAATTGATTCAAAACGTTTCCCTTTCATGTCACTTTGACTTTGTGAAGCAGGCAGAAGCCACAACATGCTGAACTTGGAGAAGAAGGTGGACGAGGACCTGTGTCATGTTTTATGAGCTGCTTTCTGTGAGACAGCGTTGGCAGCAGCATTCACTGCATTTTTGATCATGAAAGCACCCAGGAAAGAGGCCTTCCAGGACTGCTTGGGAAAGTGGCAAAGATGATGGGCAAAGTGTGTTTGAAGGGGGATGTTTGGAGGAGGTTCACGGCACTGTTTTTAACTGTAATAAATTTTTAAATGTAATTATTCACCATGGAATTTGCTCATACTGTCTGCGTTGCTCCAGCTTTCTCCTTCTCGAGTCTTTCCCCAGCCGGGCTCTCTAAGTCTCTTCTCTCTCTCTCCTGCACCACAGCAGAGTGGGCTGGGCAGGCGCAGAGGAAAACCCTTTCCCTCTGCAGAAACGGTGCCTGTTGTTGGCAAACAGCCAAGGCCCAGAGAGGAAGCTCTGTCTGGGCGGGAGGAAGGCGGAGTCAAAGTGGGGGGCCACCCCTCCAGCCACCTCTGACCACTGCACCATGCCTCCATCGTGTGTCCCCGGTGCCCTTGGGTGTCCCTGCGAGCAGCCTAAGGGCCTCTGCATGGGCAGCATCTTGGGCCCGCCAACGTTGGGCACCATCTTTCCATTCACCCCACACCCCCATTGCACAGACTGCCCCTCCTTCCCTCAGCAAGCTCCTTTGTGTTCACCTCCCCATATCATCCCCTCTAGAGCCTGACCCTTCCTTTAACCCCATTCCCACCTCCTCCAAGAAGCCCTCCTGGAAGTCCCTCCAGGAGGGAGGCACCTGTGCAAGCAGTCTGACTCCCCCAGGTCTCCATAATCCTTTCATCAACCTCCCTCCTTCCCGGTGTGAGGCCCAGAACGGGCTCAGCTCCTCCGTCCCCCACCACACTGCGCGGCCTGTGCCACGTCACAGATGCTCCTCATACTTCATTGAATCAAAACCCATCACCGCAAACTTTTCTATTTTTTCTCCCACAGTGAAGCCTCCTTCTCTCTGGAAGAGATTGAGGCAAAAGGAGCAGTCACAGAGCTTATTTCTCCCTCCCAGGGGAACTTGGCTTGAGAATAAACAGCCTCTTGCTCCTTCCCCTCCTGCTCCTCCTGCTCCAGGTCACCCGCAGTCACTGGGGACTCTGGGCATGGGGGAAGTAGAAAATAGGACCGGAGGTTTGTGGATCATCTCCTGCCACATAAGCTATGACTAAGGCCACTTGTCTATCCTCAGGATGGAGGGAGGAAGGGTTATTTCACAAAGCATCTTGTAAACCTCAGGTCTGTCAGATGCTGACATGACGGAGAGGCTCTCCCGAATTAGAGCCCTTGAGGCTCAACTGGGTTTTGCAATCGATGGCAAAGGAGATGACTCTGTAGATGGCATTTTGTGACACCCCCACCTCGAGCAGGCCTGATTCATCCTCCATGATACAGCAGGTGTGTTGGAGGGGGAGGGCGGGTGGCATCCAAAGCTGAGTTGGCTGTCCACAGGCGCGACTCACAGGGGAGCCAGGCAGCAGAGGAAATTTACTGCGTGTTGAGCCAAGGAGAGTGGAACTGAACTTGGGCCATAATCAGCCTGATTAGCTCGTGCCTCCTGAAGGGAGAAGTCTGGAGCAGAGCTGGAGGGAGCGGAGTGGGGAGCAGGTTGGCTAGCGCCAAGGTGGGGGCCCCGGGGCGGGGTTCACTCCAGTCAAGAGCACCTGGGGCCCAGGAGGGGGTTGCAGCAGAAAATGAATCAGTGCCTAGTCTTCGGGAGACCGTGGGCCCAGAGCAGGGGCCAGGCTCGAGACCGGGGGCAGAGAAATGCGACACAACAGCCAGGGGAACGCTGAGGGCAGATGCAGCACCTCAGGCCACTTCCTGCCTGGCTGACGAAGCCCTCAGGGTTGGCCTCAGCAGCCCCCGTGGCAGGCCCCCTTCTCCTCCTCCCCCCCTCTGTCTGGGGCAAGGACCCCAGCCTCAACCTTGGCGTGGCCACGAGACTTTGTGGCCCTGCAACACTGGCTTCTGAGACAAGCCATCACTTTCGGGCTCTGGCACCTGTTTACCCGAGACTCAGCACTGGAGTCTCATGGGGAAAAAGGGACCCATAATGTCTGATAAAGACTGAGGGACAGGCCATCCACAGACCCCAGTCTCTACACTCCCAAAACCCCTAGTTCCAATAAGCTGCCAACCACCTGTGTCCTCCGTGGCGCCAGGCCTGGCCCAATCAATGCACCCATGCGACTCCATAGCTTCATGATCTCAGCGCCACCTTGTCATGCTGTGCGCTAGGAGGGCACAGGTGCAGCCCTTGGGCCTCAGCAGGCCCTGCCAGTGGCTAGGGGCCAGTGTTGCACAACTCCTGGTATCCACCCTCACAAGCGCAACCCCATTTCACATGCGCTGTGCATGGAAAAGGCCAAAAGCACCGCGAGAGTTCATTTGTTCCTCGTGGCGCAAATACCTTTGCTTCTGCCATACAGGGGCAGGAAGCGACTTCCCTGCACTGCAGTGGCTCTGGACTTGTTTGACCCCAA